TTAGGTTTCATGGTTGGGCGTCAGGCTTACCTCATTTGTTGCCTTCCTTTTGGCTTGAATCTGGCAACGCGCATTTTCATACGTCTTACCCAGGTCGTGGTTACCCCGTCTGCGTCTGCTAGGGGGTTCGGGTCCTGGCCTACCTTGACGACTGGCTGGTGTGGTCTCCCAGTCGGTCCACTTGTCTGCTCACCAGGGGTGTGGTTCATTCCCAGCCGGGGGTGGAGGTCGGGTCCAGGGCTCCCTCCTTGGGAGAGGAGGGCTGCTAGTGGACAAGCGGCACAGTGGTGTGTGACATTTGCTTGTTTGCTTGTTCTTTAGGTTGGGAGAGTTCTGCCTCTCTGTTCGGTCTTCAGTTTCAATTTTCTTACCATGTGGGGGTCTGTCTTGTTATGCCTACCTTTCTGGGTGCTAACCCTGGGCGATGACAGACATGGAATGCCTTCAAGTACAATGGGGGTTCCATAGGCCATTACTCCTTTCTCTCTCTGAAGGGGCTAGATTCTGGCTCATGGTCCCCGGTAGGCTGAATGCCCATTCACTGATGCCCCAGACTAATACAGTATATATCGCTTATCAGTCCAATAGCTCCAGGGAGCCTCCGGGGCTCACCCAGAAAATGGAATTCATTATATTCAACGCTGTTTTTTTTGTCCAGATTAAAACAGTCAACCCAGTCATCGTGTTCCTATAAGGAATAAGATGGCAGCTCTATCATAAAAACTAAGTAGATTTGTTACACAGGATCTTCCTGTTTGAAATCCATATGGTCTATAATTATGTAATTTCTTTTCAGGTATTCTACCAATTTGGTTTTAATTAGTATTTCTAGTGTTTTGACTACCATGATTGTCAGTAATGCAAGTCTATAATTTAGAGGTTTTTCCCAGGGTTCAATCCTCGCAACTTCCTGTTGAGGTAGGCCTTTATTGCTGCCTTTTCTCATAGGTTGCATTGATGATGCTGTGTTGGGGCTGGCCCTGGTTTCTCCTTTTTGGCCTTGCGTCACTTGGGCCATCCTGGTGGTGACCTTTCACCCGGAGTGGATGTCCTTCGATACCTTCTTTCCAATATAGTTTCCTCAATCCAGTCCCATTTGGTATTCATGAGTGTGTTGCGTGATTCATTTGTCTTGGGGGTTATTGTCTTATTTTCTATCCTTTGTTTACCTTGCCATTTGTGTGTTTTGACTCACCCAAATTTCTGGTTAGGGTGATATATTCCCCTTATGCCTCATTAGAGGGGGCAGGTTTTGGCAATTAGTCCCCGTAGCCTTACAATGACTCGCAAGAGCCTATCATGGATTTAATTGGCTGGAGCTACCCAAGGTAACTATTTCCAAGGCACCACCAAGGACCCACCAGAAAGAGATGTTTCATTACATTCAACATTTTTTTTCATTATTAATTTCAAACTATTTTACCAACCAAAATAGGAGCTAGCAAATATTGAATATTGTGTTGGGAATATTTGTAAATACCGGTGTCAGTTGTATGTCTGATACATTGTGTCACGTCTCGGTCACATCTAGGGTTTGAGCATTGATTGTTGTAGATGGAGCTATTTTCCCTGGGCAAATCTTGGTAAATAATGTCAATGCAACATTGAATTAACATTTATCCTATATTGGCTTAACATTACTCGAGGAATTTTGCCTGCCAGGTATTATACCAATATTATTATACCACTCCAGTTTTTTCTTTGTAGACAAGTCAATTACAAGTACTCCAATATTTCCTCCATATGAAAGTTTAATACAATATTAACCCCTAAACTCCACAGCTATTTTAACGTATTGAACTAAAGTGAGGTGCACATGACTAAAAAATTTTAACAAATCAAATGGAAAGAAATCACACATATGGCAATCAGATCACAAGAGCAAATTACAAATAGTGATTGGAACAGTTTTAGGGTTAATAATTTGTACTCGGATTCAAAATAAAAATATGCATAGATTTATTATTATGCTGAGCTTGTAATATTCTTGTAGAACCTTTCTTGTGTTGTTTACAAACACAAGAAAGGTTCTACAAGGGTAAGCTTGTAGAGCATTGTGGTGTTGAGCAGCACCACAGAACATTGTGGTGTTGAAGAGCACCACAGAACATTGTGGTGTTGAAGAGCACCACAGAACATTGTGGTGTTGAAGAGCACCACAGAACATTCTGGTGTTGAACAGCACCACAGAACATTGTGGTGTTGAACAGCACCGCAGAACATTGTGGTGTTGAACAGCACCACAGAACATTCTGGTGTTGAACAGCACCACAGAACATTGTGGTGTTGAACAGCACCACAGAACATTGTGGTGTTGAACAGCACCACAGAACATTGTGGTGTTGAACAGCACCACAGAACATTGTGGTGTTGAACAGCACCACAGAACATTGTGGTGTTGAACAGCACCACAGAACATTCTGGTGTTGAACAGCACCACAGAACATTCTGGTGTTGAACAGCACCACAGAACATTCTGGTGTTGAACAGCACCACAGAACATTCTGGTGTTGAACAGCACCACAGAACATTCTGGTGTTGAACAGCACCACAGAACATTCTGGTGTTGAACAGCACCACAGAACATTCTGGTGTTGAACAGCACCACAGAACATTCTGGTGTTGAACAGCACCACAGAACATTTAAAAGAGCTCTAGTTTGATCATAGAATGATCGTTCATTGTGGCAGTTCCATTTAATTAGAAAATCTGAGCTTTGAGGAATTTTGTAAAAGTAGTGATAAAGTTTGCAGTAGGTTTCCATTGTAATTTTTATCAACTTTCCTGAATCTATAGATATTTCATCCATAGAGCTGTATTTTATGTATATGCCATTAATGCCCAGTTCCATGTTGTTTGTAACTTAATGTTAGAATGTCCAAGCGAGCACTCTAGTGAGGTAAATAAAGAAAAGCCATTCTTTTGTGATATTATGATACTGTATAGCAGCATACTTTACATACAGTCTTAAGGACCAATATCGGACTGGACTGATGGCTTGATTCATCAGATCCTTTTCTGTCCAAGCTGTGAACAAGTTAATTCTTGTCTGTGACTCTTCCAGAATATCATCTAATGTTTCTCCATTTCAAGATTAAAATTTTATGTTAAGCAAGTTCTATACGTGATGTGACAGCATGAAAGCAGTATACATTAGATTTTTTGCATTTTTCTTCTATTTAGATTTTATTATATTTTATTTGCAGATTATAGTGAGCATACTGTAAGTGTCTTCAGATTAGTATTTCAATAGATGTATCTTTATATTTTGTCTCTTGCTCCCCTTACTTAGTCTTCATATATCTTGTGCCTTTACCCTTCCTCTTCTGAGTACACTCACCTTTAGTTCAAAAATCAAAGCAATTATGCCTGTTTTTCCTGCAGACCTGGACAGTCTAGTCCTGGCACTAGAGGATGACATCGATGCAACTTTAAGGAGACAGTCGGCACCACGTTCCAGAAGTCTCTTAGGCTTGTTTCATTCCCTCAGTGTTCCCCATATTCTATCTCCATACACTTTTTTGAAGGAAGATTTTTATTTCATTGTGTTTTGATCCTCGGTATATGTGGTGCACTATATTGGCTCATTCTCTCGGTTTGCCACTCCGTAAAAAATGCAATCGTTTTGCTTAACAAGAAATGTACAAACCTATGCAACCTTCCTAACCTGTCAAGGCTTATGCATAGATGAAGTCAGTATCACAGCATTTTAATTTTACTATTATCCTGTACCTCATTTTTAACGGATTGGTTCCGTAAAAAATACGACATTAAGTGAGAGGACTGGTTCAATATATAGTACAGTACCTCTGTTTGTAATGTTACTCAACATGTAAATATGAGGTATTGGAATTATTATAATTATACAAAATAATTATGCCTTATAGAAAGTAAAAATTATTGAACATAGTACTGTACAAATTTGTAGATGTGCCTTCCTTCAGAAATGTGTGTAGTTATCCACTCCTAGGTGTGTGTTGTCATCTCATGTGTGGACATACCGGTCTACACTTTGCTGTCATACCATCGTCTAGATTAATTCTTTATGGACATAGGCCCCAGTACGAGGCAAGACTAATGACCACCTTGCGTGCTTCTGCACCATCAACACTGAACAGTGACTGGTTGTTACATGGCCCGACTAACGTGTGTCTAATCTAGTTATCTGTTATCCAAAAAGCTTTTGGCCCCATTTAGCTAATAAATTTCCTTTTATCCTTTTCCATTTTCCATGTTTTGTTCATTTAAGTTTGTCATTTGGGTTATGACCAAGATGTGTTGTGTTAGTTATGATTATTTATTGTATATCAGAAAGTATTTGAATCCTGATAATTAAATCTGAACTTTAACGTAATGCTGATCAATTATGCTATGCTTCGCACCTCATATTTCATTGAGCATAATATTAATGGAACTAAGCATAAAAGTTAGAAAGCTTAATGTTCCTCTATTGCATTGACTAATTAAAGCATGTTTTCTTGACACGTATTTCCTTGTGACTTTTCACCAGGTGATTACTTAGTGTATTTCTAAGAATAGTATGTTAAGAGGCCAACCAATCCAATGTGAACATTGTAATTTTGTTTGTACGTAGTTATTAGATGTGCAGTATATGGACTATTACTTGTGTATTAAAGTTTTAAAGACAACATTATATTAGTGAGGAAGGTTGTTATACAAACTTACTGAATACAAAAGTGATTGAATAATCAATATAGGCTCTGCCTTCTCGAGTTAATTGTAATTATTATTTCTCCACCTGGGAGGCAAGTACCAAATTAATGGTGAAAAGCATTACATAATATTAATGTATTCACATTCATTATGCATGGCATTTGTATTTAGCTTGTGTTCTCAGTCATGGTGTACAGATGGAATAACAAGTCAAACCTGTTTTGATCCTAAAAATCTAAGTTGTTTGTTAAGCGAGAAGCCTGAATGGGAGTTGATTAGTGCGGGTGATACAGGTTGCTGAGCGTTTACTGGGGCTCCTCTTACAGGTCTGGATCACCTAGCTCTGGCCAACTCTAATGACATTAATGCCACGCTGCTCAAATCGTCACTAGTTGCTCATCAGCGCTCACAAAGCCTCTCAGGTAAACAAACTTGGCCTAGGGTTTAGTTAACTCTTAAGATTTGGCCTTCGGAAAATCTTTCAAATCTCCCATGGTCTCGTGATGAAAAATATACAGTATTTGCAACACCTCGTGCAGTTTTACGTCTAAGCTTTTTAGCGAATTAGGTTGCATGATCCATTATATCTTGTATTCGCTTATTAACAGTGAGTCGTTAATTGAATGAGGAACATATAATCACCAAGCTTTTCATTAATTTGTTATGTGGCTATCGATTTCTGAATTCGCTTTTTATTTCCAAAAGTGGGAAACATTGATTATGTAAATTCAAGTATTTGCAATCTCTGTTGCTTAAAATCGAGAAATAAGCATTTGCATTTATTAAAAATGAACATTTACTATTACATTATTTATTTAAAAAAGATGTACAATTAATTCTCATGAGAAATTAAGTCCTTATTATTGTTTAAACAGCAGGATGAATTAGCTTTTTGAGTTATGTGTCATACTAACATAAATTGGCATAACCTAAGTTTTTCTTTTAACATTTTTCTCACATACACTTAAAAACAAAAACGCATTCAATATTTATTTTTGGAATGTATGACCCCAGTGGTAGTGCGGTGTTGGTAGTTGTTGTGACACGTGTAGTACTTGATGAATGAGGTCCACACGACGCCTTCTTGCTTGTCTGTCATTGTGCTCATGTCCTGGGTTACGGTTCATTGAAAAGTAATGGTCTTTAATACAAAAAAATGATGGAAGTATACACAATGGGGAATAAAAGGATAACTTGCTTTTTGATCATGGTATAAATGTGGTATATAATGGCAAAAATATATTGAGTATATCAATAAGTAACCCAAGACTTGTAGTGATTTTATTTCATGTAGAATTGTAGCAATGATTGAAAGTGTAAAGCCTGTGTGTAAATACTGCACAGTACTGTACTGTGGTTAGTGGTGTACTGTAGTTAGTGATGTGCTGTAGATAGTGGCTGTACTGTAGTTAGTGGTGTGCTGTAGATAGTGGTTGTACTGTAGTTAGTAGCTGTTTTGTTCTTTTTATGTGCACTTGTGTTGCCTTAATGTTTTTGTAACAATTCTTCCATTTATTGTATTAACCGCAAAGATAACCTGTGCACAATATCATCTTTGTTCCTTAAAGAATTGTATCAAAATTCTAAATTAAACAGAATTAGAGGCAGTTAGTAGTATATTAGAATGTAGTTAATACTGCAGGATTTTTATTTGTGGTAAATATTTCAAGCTCCAGAGTCTAAATTGTGCTCGGGTAATCTTGTAAAATATATTCTCAGAAAAGCAACAGGTGTTTCTTCTGTAAACAAAAAAGCAGGTTTAATTGTTTTGAACGTGTCAGTTGGTAAGTTTTGTGTTAGTTGAGGTCAATCCCAAGGTCTGGCCAGCATATAGGTATGCCCATATTCTCTATATATTTCACAAATACAACTAATAGTATATTTGTGGTAAGGTATTGTGTGTTGACATGGTGTACATGTATGACTGAATGCGTCTGTTAAACATGGGTGAAGGACTGTATCAGTATGCTAATATGTTACGATAACAAATGACAAGGAAGTTTGAACAAAATCAATGGAAGATTCTAGAAGGTATTTACAATTAGGTGAAGGCATTTGCCAGAATTGCACAGACCAGGTTATCTGGATGGGAAACTCTACTGAACATCAGAGATCCATGTTATTCAATACTTTCCCAGCAAGCAATAAAAGTACAGTATGCTGGAAAGATGGTGGACTTCTTCAAGAAACAATTAGACAAGGCCTAGCTAAAAGGGCCGGACCTACCAGGCGGTAGTGAGTATGTGGGCCTGCGGGCCGCTCCAAGCAACAGCCTGTTGGTTCAAGTTATCACAAGTCGAGCTTGGCCTCAGGCAGGGCTTGGGTAGTAGAAGAACTCTCAAGACCCTTTCCAAGCAAGATCTAGGTTAGAATGAAATACCTGACAAACAGTAGGCCAATAATGAGTGAGATGTCAGGATAGGGAATGGTAGCAAGTGGTGTCGCAAGGATAATGTTTTTGGTCATATATGAACAGACTCTTGCTTTCTTAATACAGTATTATATTCATGATGATTTATCTGAGGACCACTAATCCTAGTGGCCTCAATGAGGACAGGAAGCTGGCAGCTTGTCAAAAGGTCCCCTGATTTGCCTTGAGGATCTTTTCCAGATGCAAATAATGCAAAACTAATAAAAAGGACAAAATTAAATAAGATTGTATGCAACTGCAAAAGGGATCTGGGAGCTGCAGGGGATGATCCAGTGAGCGGCTACTGGAGTTTTACCCTAATAGATGTAAGGTAATGAGGATACAAGCAAGAGAAAGGTGGATGGCAGTAGTGTATGATCAGAGGGAAAGATACTACTGCACTAGACAGAAAGGGTGATGAAAGCAAGGGTTGCCATTTTGTGTAACCTATCACCATCAGCACATATAAACAAGAGCTTCAGGAATGTAATCCCGGTTTAAAAATACCGTATATCAATCTTCGGAAATCTTAACACGGAATCACTTAGAATATTGTGCACACTCGAGAGGCTAGTATTGGAGTTTGTGGCATTGGGGGGACACCCACACCTCATGCTATCAAGAAAGCTAGAGAAAGTCTAAATGGTTAGACCTGGTTTAAAGAACAAGATCTCTCAGTGTTGGAAATAGGAAAATTACAGAGAGGGCCTCTGCTTGATGGGGTTCTGGGAGTTGTTCTACTCCCCATGCAGCCATGATATACTGACTGCCCAAAGGTATTGACAAGATGGGCACAGTCATACTGTAGAGGGAGTGGAAGGACTCACGCCGGGTAAGAGTCCTGTTGTTCTGGTGATATGTTATCATGTAGAAGACTCTGGTGATATGTTATCATGTAGAAGACTCTGGTGATATGTTATCATGCAGATGGCTCTGGTGCTATGTTATCATGCAGAAGACTGGTGATATGTTATCATGCAGAAGACTGGTGATATGTTATCATGCAGAAGACTCTGGTGATATGTTATCATGCAGATGGCTCTGGTGATATGTTATCATGCAGAAGACTGGTGATATGTTATCATGCAGATGGCTCTGGTGATATGTTATCATGCAGATGGCTCTGGTGATATGTTATCATGCAGAAGACTGGTGATATGTTATCATGCAGATGGCTCTGGTGCTATGTTATCATGCAGAAGACTGGTGATATGTTATCATGCAGAAAACTGGTGATATGTTATCATGCAGAAGACTGGTGATATGTTATCATGCAGAAGACTCTGGTGATATGTTATCATGCAGAAGACTCTGGTGATATGTTATCATGCAGAAAACTGGTGATATGTTATCATGCAGAAGACGCTGGTGATATGTTATCATGCAGAAGACTCTGGTGATATGTTATCATGCAGAAGACTGGTGATATGTTATCATGCAGAAGACTCTGGTGATATGTTATCATGCAGAAGACTCTGGTGATATGTTATCATGCAGAAGACTCTGGTGATATGTTATCATGCAGAAGACTCTGGTGATATGTTATCATGCAGAAGACTCTGGTGATATGTTATCATGCAGAAGACTGGTGATATGTTATCATGCAGAAGACTGGTGATATGTTATCATGCAGAAGACTGGTGATATGTTATCATGCAGAAGACTCTGGTGATATGTTATCATGCAGAAGACTCTGGTGATATGTTATCATGCAGAAGACTCTGGTGATATGTTATCATGCAGAAAAGACTGGTGATATGTTATCATGCAGAAGACTCTGGTGATATGTTATCATGCAGAAGACTCTGGTGATATGTTTTCATGTAGAAGACTCTGGTGATATGTTATCATGCAGAATAATTGGGTAATATGTTATCATGCAGATGCTTTGGTGATATGTTATCCCATAGATGGCTCTGGTAATATGTTATCATGCAGATGGCTCTTGTAATATGTTATCTTGCAGATGGCTCTGGTGATATGCTATCCTATAGATGGCTTTGGTGATATGTTATCTTACAAATGGGTCTGGTGACATTTTATTCAACTGATGGGTCTGGTGATATGTTATTTACCTGAATTTACCTGAGGGGCCACTAATACTAGTGGCCTCGACGAGGACAGGAAGCTGGCGGCTTGTCAAAGGTCCCCTACATTTGCCCTGATGATCTTTTCTAGCTGTATTTTAAAACTCAAGCACAGTTTTGGTGTTCACGGCTTTGGCTGTTAGATGGTTCCGTGGGTTTACAACCCTATGGGTGAAAAAGCATCTCATGTTTTCTGTCCTACTTTGTGGCTTGTTGAGCTTGAACCCATTGCTCCTCGTTCATGTTACATCTGACTTTTTGAAGACATTTTCCGGATCTACATCCTCCAAATTTTTCAGTATTTTAAAGGTTTCTATTAGATCCACCCTGTCATGCCTGGTCTGCAGTGTTATTAGCCCTGTGGCTAATAACACTGCAGCTGTTCCTGATACGAGAGGAGAGATGACTAAGCTCTGGTATGATTTTTGTTGCCTGGCGTTGCACCTTCTCCAGAGCAGCTATGACTTTCTGAAGATGAGGTCTCTATGTTTGGATGCAATGATCCAGGTGGGGGTGCACCAGAGACTTATACAATTGATCGACTACTTTCTTTGCCTTGAAGGTAAAGGTACGCGTGATTATTCCCAGGGTTTGGTTCCCTATTTTTTACTGCCACTCCCACTTGTTGTGCAACTTTTAGCGAATGTTGGATTCTGACTCCAAGGTCCCTCTCTTCATCTATCTGTTGTAAGGTAGTGCTGACAATTTGGTAGTTGTGACGTAGATAGTTTTGCCCAATATGCAAGGTCTTGCATTTATTGACATTAAAAAGCATATGCCGGTCATCTGACCATTTATGGAGTTCATGTGTAAGGTCTCAATATCACTTTCACTTTACCATAGATCTTAGTGTCATCTGCAAATTAGATAATGTGGTTTGTAATATTCTCATCTGTCTCATTGATGTATATGACAAACAGGGTTGGCCCCAAAATGGACCCTTGTGGTACCCCACTTAACACATTTCCACAGTCAGATTTATTCCCATTTAGCATGACCCTTTGTTTTCTATGTTTTAACTAATATTTTATCCATTCGAGTATTCTTCCATTTATTCCATATGCCTGTAATTTCTTTGCCAGTGTCTCATGTGGTACCTTGTCAAAAGCTTCAGCAAAGTCCATATAAGCTACGTCTACCGGAAGTCCTTTGTCTGAATAACCTGTTACCGTTTCTAGAAATGTACTCACCTAGTTGTGCTTGTATGGGTTGAGCTCTGGCTCATTGGTCCCGCCTCTCAACTGTCAATCAACTGATGTACAGATTCCTGATCCTACTGGGCTCTTATACCTGGTTGATACCTGGTTGATGGGGTTCTGGGAGTTCTTCTACTCCCCAAGCCCGGCCCAGGGCCAGACTTGACTTGTGAGAGTTTGGTCCACCAGGCTGTTGCTCGGAGCGACCCCGCAGGCCCACATACCCACCACAGCCCGGTGGTGGATTGCCGGTTGGTCCGGCAATCCTTAAAGGAAACAATCTAGTTTCCTCTTGAAGTTTCCAGTTATCATATCTACGTTTGAAACTGTGTATGGAATTAGCCATCACCACATCACTGCCTAATGCATTCCATCTGTTAACTACTCTGACACTGAAAAAGTTCTTTCTAACATCCCAGTGGCTCATTTAGGTACTCAGTTTCCACCTGTGTCTCTTTGTTCGCATACCACCCATGTTAAACAGTTTATCTTTACACTATTAATTCCTCCAAGAATTTTGTAGGTAGTGATCATGCCTCCCTGAGCTCTCCTGTCTTCTAGCGACGTGAGGTGCATTTCACTCAGCCTTTCCTCGTATCACATGCCCCTTAGTTCTGGGACTAGCCTAGTGGCATACCTCTGAACTTTTTCCAGCTTCGTCTTGTGCTTGACAAGGTACGGGCTCCATGCTGGGGCTGTATACTCCAGGATTGGTCTTACATATGAGGTACACAAGGTTCTGAAGGATTCATTACACAGGTTCCTGAAGGCAGTCCTGATGTGAGCAGGTTAGTAAGGCAGGATCTATTTTAACAAACTCATGTTGCGTTGATTTTACAAGATTGTTCTCTGGGAGATGTTGTATGATTCCTTCCCTTAGTAGTCACTCCATGAGCTTGCAGATGGAGTTATCCCAAAGATGGCTCTGGTGATATGTTCTCGTGCAGATGACTGTTGACATGTTATCCTATAGATGGCTTGTAAGCCAGGCGTCTTGATCTCCAACAAGTGTTATTATCCAAGTTTATTGTGGTTAGCAATTTATATTGCTGGAGCATGGACTACCTAATACCTCTGCGCTTAAGATCACTCAGGTCCCGGGGAAGTCTTAATATCTCAGTTGGATATTGGTTGCATATGATTTAATTGCTCAGTGGTTAGAGCAGCTGGCTACCGTTCTGGTGGTCGGCATTTCAAGGCTCCTACTGCCCTTAGCATGATTAGTTTTATGAGCATTTGTCTGGTATTGCAGTGATTTGTTATTTAGACTGACAACAGACTTGATAGCAGTGTTAACATTCATCTTTGACCTAATCAGTTTATGAGCTACACTAGAACAGTTCTCACTTTTGTTGTTCTTTGGATAGACCTTTCTAGGTGCCTTCCTCGGTGATAGCATAAATGAATAACTTGATATATAAATGCCACCTCTTCCTGCACCTCTCTGAGGAGACCAGGTTCTTGCTCGTGGTTCCCAGTAGGCCAATAAGAACTGTGCAACGGATGGAGCCTAGTAGTATGACACACTATCAGTGATAGTAGCTTCAGGGAACCACAAGGGGCTAACCCCAGAAAAAACAGTGTTACAGAAAATGTAGAATGCATAAATTTGTATTTATGAGAATGAAGAGTGGGCTAATGTCATTTGAAATGAACAGATAATAAGAGAGTAGCAAAAAGTATGTACGAGAGAGTTTGATTGTATTAGAATAAGAAAGGCAAGAATGTGAGCAAGTAGAGTGAGGCTTACGTTTGAAAGGTTATTAGGAGGAAACTCATAGACCAGGTGTACAAGTACGCCATATCACTTGTCACATGTACTTATTGCTAGTACAACTTATAGACCAGGTGTACAAGTACTCCATGTCACTTGTCACATGTACTTATTGCTAGTACAACTTATAGACCAGGTGTACAAGTACTCCATATCACTTTTCACATGTTCATATTGCTAATATAACTCATAGACCAGGTGTACAAGTACTCCATGTCACTCGTCACATGTACATATTGCTAGTACAACTCATAGACCAGGTGTACAAGTACTCCATATCACTTGTCACATGTACATATTGGTAGTACATGAATTAAACTGTTAACAATATTGTTGTGAATGTTTTGTGGTGTGTGGTGACAATAATTTGCTGTATGCTACACATTGTGAAAGTCATAATTAGGAAAATGTTTGTGATACTATGCTTTACTAAGAATATCTTTTACTAATTCTCTCTATACTGCTTTCCAAACCTTTCTGGTGTGGGCGTTATCTACCCAGGTTGGCAGTGTGGGATCAAGTGCTACCACTTTCTTTTGCAAGCTTTCTATTAAATAAATAAAAATAATACTTAATTAAAGGGAATCTTTTCTAATTCACTTTTCTTGTGTTTTCAGTTGCACACTTAGTTTCTTAACTCATCACTCTTTATTCTGAATGAAGTGTATATATACAATGGATCTGTTAACTATACTATGATATAGAGACATCAAATATAATTTAGCACCTTTGGTTGTGTTTGTACAGTATTATATAGGATATAAGCATTCAGAATTTGAATGGTATGTGTAGTGGTGGGGACATGTAATGCTGTCCTTGCCTGTCCATATGTGTATTTGTCAATATGCTTGCCCATCCATCTGTTTAAATGTAAGGACAGGCAGGACATTTGTGTGATACAGTATAAAGAATATTTTAGTTTATTTCAGATTTTGTTCACATGCAAGATCTGATAGCTAATGCTATTCTTGTATTTAAACGATGCAATCAGGTCTCCAGCCGGCAGGAGAAAGCCCAAAGCACAAGCAAGGAGGGGGAGGAGGAGGTGGCGGGGACAAAGTAGGGTCCACAGGAGCCAGCAGTAATGTAGATACACAAATGCAGCTCAAATATGAGAACGACCGTCTTAAACTGGCACTAGCTCAAAGGTTTGTTGACATTTCAAGTGTTCATGCCTCAGTTCTATAGACTATGTTGAATAATATGATGTAAGGAGAATAGCATTACCTGTAATTAGCTAGAGCTCTACAGTATAATTGCTGTCTGTATTTCCGATGTCTCATCTTCCCTTTGGAAACTCCCCTCTGAGAAGTTGACCACAATAAAAAAAAAGGTTCCAGGCAGCCTTCTCTAAACCTTATCTTTTTAGTATGTTCAGATAATCTTAATGCTCTCATGGTACCTTTCCTCTATGTTATTCTTTGCTTTTACTTTCCATGATGACCAAACCAACACACCAGAAGATAAAGAAATGACATTTCGGTCAGTCCTGGACCATTATCAAGTTGTATGTGATCACATACGACTTGATAATGGTCCAGGACTGACCGAAATGTCGTCGTTTCTTCATCTTGTGGTGTGTGGTTTGGTCATCATATTTTCAGCCACGTTATTGTGACTCCTCGTCTGTTTACTTTCCATGTTGCTGTTGTAAGCCACTTTCACTATGCTCAATCTTTTATATTCTCCTTACAGTCTTGTTATCCATCTTCCTCCCCACAATTCCCAATCATCATAAAATAATATTTATTCCTCCCGGTGCATTTCTTAATAAATTCATTTTGACAGCCTGAATTGTATATGTCTCTCTCATTTCATGTCCGTATTTCACTCCCATAGGTCAGGGTTGGCAGGAGTGTGCTGGCACCTAATCCTTTCTTCACATCCATGGTAACATTTCTACCTTACATAATCCTTCCTAGAGATCTCATCATCATCATTATTCTGCAAAAACTACTCTAATTTCTTTCTCATGTTCCATATTTGCACAGTAGGCTAGAAATCTAAAACATTTAGATTTCTTGATATACAGAGAAAAAAGTCACAGTAAGTTTCTGAAAAAAACCAGCATTAAATGTAATGAAATGCTATTTTCTGGGTGAGACCCAGAGGCTCCTCAGAGCTATACTGGGCTGATGTGTATATATTAGACCGTGGCAACAGTCAATCGAAGGAGTTCTAAGCCTACCGGGGACCAGAGGCCCCCTCAAGAGAGGCACGAGGAGCAATGGCCTAAAGACACCCCTGTGTAATTGGAAGCAGTCTTTGTCTGCCATCTACCAGGTCAAGCACTCAAAAAGGTAGAAATTCCAAAACAAACTACTGCTGGTCAAAAATTGCAAACCGAAAGCCGAACTAGCAAGCAGAACTCCCCAATCAAAAACAGGAAAAATAGCATGACATCTCCACAACCGCCGCTCATCCGTTTGCGCAATCCCCCGCCCCCTTCCCCGGGAAGAGGAGGTGGGTCCCAGACCTTCCCACCGGCTACTCTCCTCAGTTCATAGGCTGAATATTGAAAATGCAAAAAAACGCCGACCGGAGGGAGGGAGGGATGCCGGGGAAAATCCGGGTCTCATCCAGAAAATGGTGTTTCATTACATTCTGTGCTGGTTTTCTGTGGAGAGCCCCTTCAGCTCCCGGAGCTACCTAATCAAAGATAAAGAAGAAAAGGGACTTACCCGGGAGGTGGCTGTCACTCACCTCACAACTCGAAGTCGAAATAACTGGCTGCAACCTGTGACCCAAGGCTACCCACATGCCCAAGAAGGGGTTCAGAACATTAACGAGGTACCGTGCGGCCAGGACCCTGTTCGACCTCCAAAAACCTAGTGCAGCAGCCGAAGCCGCGAACTTACGAACGTTGTGGGCACAGGGATAGACCGCAGGCTGGCTGGACCGAATAATCCTGCAGCCGTCCTTGGAGACCTGCGCCTAGGAACAGGGAAGGAGGGAAACTGGGTCCACCCAAAGCACATCCCCTGCCACAGAGGCTGTGGCGTGCAAATAATGGCGAAGAGCCGCAACTGGACATAAAACCTGATGAACCCCTGGCTGAACCAACCAGGCATCAACAACCCAAGGACCCTTTCGGAAAGCAGCAGACTCATTCTTCGCCAAAAAAGGAGGAGATGGCTTCAAACAAACAAAACGACCACCAGGACTGAAAGAGCAGAAACCACTGTGCCAGAGGAGAGCATAAAGCTCCCCGACGCGAGGAGGAGCCAATGTAAACAAGAAAAGAGCCTTAGAAAAACAGTCCTGAACCGAGGGGGCCACCACAAACCAAGGAGAAGAAAGAAAAGAGAGCACCCAGTTCAATGACCAGGACAGCTCAGGTGGTGCATGAGCAGGCCGGAGGTGAAACAATGCCCGAGAAAGTTTGCGGAACGGAGCAGAAGTGACATCCACCCCAAATGCAAGCAGCAGCGGCTCTGCCAGCGCCATACGATATGAGGCGACAGTATTTGGCATAAGATGATGGTCCTGAAACAACCAAGGGAGAAAGGACAAAACAACCCGATCAGAAATCGAATGCAACCTACGAAGAGACAAAAAAGTGCCGAAAGGACTGCCAGGAAATTTCATACTGCCGTCGAGACGAAACTCACAGGTGGGACACCATCAACGTAGCCACCTGATCACCATACAAGTGATTATAAACGTGCGTCAAAAAGACCAGACATGAAGAGTGGAGAAGATCGAACCAGCCACGTACCAGATCGGACCGATCTGCTGAAAGAGGCGGAGCCGCAGGATGACCCTCGGTTTTGGATATCGAGCAAGAGCCTAAAACCAGGACTGGGCTGGCCACCAAGGAGCCAACAGGACTACTCTTCCCTGGTAAGTCTCCAAGCGTGCCAGGACCTGGCGCAACAACCAAACCGGAGGGAAGAGGAAGAAGAAGAGGAGTAACCCCACCGTGACCAGTCCAGTTGAAAGGCATCGACCATGACTGCCTCGCAGTTGGGGACAGGCGCTGCATATCCTGGAAGACGCCTTACCTTACCTTGAGGTTACCTTGAAGTGTTTCCGGGGCTTAGTGTACCCGCAGCCCGGTCGTCGACCAGGCCTCTTCGATGCTGGACTGGTCAACCAGGCTGTTTGACACAGCTGCTCGCAGCCTGACATATGAATCACAGCCTGGTTGATCAGATATCCCTTTAGGTACTTATCTAGTTCTCTCTTGAACACTGTGAGGGGTCGGCCAGTTATGCCCTTTATGTGTAGTGGAAGCGTGTTGAACAGCCTCGGGCCTCTGATGTTGATAGAGTTCTCTCTCAGAGTACCTGTTGCACCTCTGCTTTTCAATGAGGGTATTCTGCACATCCTGCCATGCCTCCTGGTCTCATGTGATGTTATTTCTGTATGCAGGTTTGGGACCAGCCCCCGTCTAATATTTTCCATGTATAAATTATTATGTCTCTCTCCCGCCTGCGCTCAAGAGAATTCAGATTTAGGCTCTTTAGTCGGTCCCAGTAGTTTAGATATTTTACTGTGTGGATTCTAGCAGTAAAGGATCTCTGCACGCTCTCCAGGTCAGCAATTTCTCCAGCTTTGGAAGGGGCTGTCATTGTGCAGCAGTACTCCTCTCTAGAGAGCACTAGTGTCTTGAAAAGTATCATCATCGGTATATCATCTCTAGTGTGAAAGGTTCTTGTTATCCAACCTGTCATTTTTCCAACCTACCTTGACCAAGCTGATACAAAGAGGTTCATGTCCGGGGCCCGAACGTCTGGCAGAGCCAACGGAACAAGTCGGCGTCAACTGTCCATTCCGTGGACAGGGGAAGGAAACGGGACAAGCTGTCCGCTAGTACATTGGTCACTCCCTAGACATGAACCCCCAGGAGAGCCAAACCCCGAAAACTCGGCAGACAAGTTACCCAAAGCAACCAGCCCCAAAGAGCCAAAGACCGCATCGAACCCCCCGTGGTTCTGACAATGAACCAAAGGGGAGCAGTTCGAATGGCGCCAGATTGTCGATCCGCGAGCGACCCGAACCCTGTGAAGTGAATGCCACACCGCCACGAACTCCCACGCCGTACTGTGAGCCTGACGGAAGGATAAACCCCACCCTGGCTGGCCTGGTGAGTACTGGTCACAAAGCCCCAGCTGAGAAATGAGGTATTTGTGAACACATCGAGCGAGGGCTCAGGTAGGCGCCACGGCACAGACCCCAAAAAACCCGAAGAGGAAGCAGGTGACGCATCAACCGACGCAAGGCCCCCGGGGTCCGAACCCAGTGACCACGAGAGCGGCAGAATGGATGTACCCGAAGGAACCAGAACAGCTGTTGAAGCCAGATCCAACCTGATGGGTAGACCAGCACGGAGAAGTTCAGACTCCCGCAGACGTAGCATCGCCGCCGAAGAGAGAGACAAGGAAGCAGTCCGAGAGTCTCACACAACACCCAGCCAAGTCCGAACCTGAGAGGGAAACAAATGGGACTTCCTCCAGTTCACCAAGAACCCAAACCTGGTGAACTGGAAAAGAACCAAATCCCTGGCGAGCAGACACAAAGACTGGCTGGGAGCTCAGACCAGCCAGTCATCAAGATAAGCCGGAACAAAAACCCCTAACAGAGGCAAACAAGTCGCCATGACCTGAGTAAGGCGTGTGAACATGCGAGGTGCCAGATTTAAGCCGAAAGGAAGGAAACAAAAGCAGTAAACCTGTCACCCCACAACAAAACTGAGCCAGTCCCTGAACCCCGGATGAATGAGGACATGCCAATACGCATTCCGATGGTGTCCCTGGAGGTCCAGGGACACCATCCAAGCGCCCGGTTCCAAAAGCAGCTGGACCTGGGACAGAGTGGTCATCCGAAAGGAGGGGCAAAAGACCTAAGGGTTCAGACGGGACAAGTCTGAACCCGCATCTCCCTCGGCAGGATGCATGAAGCCGAAAACCACTGGAAGGAGGGAACCGAGGAACCCAGTGGAACACAGAATTGAACCCAAGGAGGAGTCGAACTCATACCAAACTCGTACAAGGAGGGGGGGGATAGGAAAATCCCTCCCCCTGTAACAACAAAGGCGCCAAGAGTACGAACACCCAAGCGGGGTCAAATGGGGCCCAAGCCCCCCCCAGGTCGACTCCCCAGCTCTGGGATTCTCAATGTCAGGACCCGGGGCCGAGCAATCCTC